ACGACATTTGAGGACATCCACTTAACTTTCTATCTTATAGCCTATATTTCTACTTTTCTTATACATATAGCCACGCGTTCTACTATCTTAAAAAATTTTTGGATAAAATTGCAGTAAAGGATCCACTAGAAGTTTGTTCAAATTTCAATAGGCTTTGGTTTTGTACGCAAATGTCGGTACGCAAATGTCGGGCAGCCTTCTTATTGGTTATTAATTATCGTAATGTTTTAGTTAAATGCCCTGGCATTTTATTTTCCAATTATTGTACATTAAAGATCGAGCTGGACCTGGACCAAGGCCTGGGGTTTTTCCTGTACCCAGAGTCACGTCCAGGCATTTTTTGACCTTCCTGGGATTTTCCTGGGCCTGGGTTTTTTCTAGCTAAAGGCCCAGGATCTAAACCAGGTCAAGAAATCAAACTCCAGAGTCCACGAACGGGTCCAGGCTTTTCAAAAATCTCGATCTCTACTGTACATTTGGGCATTCTATTAGAAGGAGGCGTTTTAATGGAGGTGAGTTTTCTATTATAGAGAGGTACGGTAATTTAATAATCCTACGGTAACGAGGGTTAATTAATCTACTAAAAATATTTTATTTTTCATGTTCCGCCATGTTGTTTATAAATTGTAAAAATGTATGATTATTTAGTAAAATTCTTCATTTAATCATTTACTTGTTATTACAATCAAAAATCGCTGCCGGCAAAATTCTCGTCTTTTTCTTTAACATTTTTGTGTTAATATATAAAAATTCTCTTCCTCTTCAAAAAAATTTTTTTCTTCTTCTTCATTTGTCTTTTACTATTACCCCATCATCATCAATCATCAGATGTACATACAAAGTATTTTTATGTATACAATCATTTTTAAATATTTTTTTTAAAAATATTTTTATATATGTATTTATTGCCAGTCTTCTCTCTCTTCCTTCCCTCAACTTTTACATATTTGACCAATACGACATTTTGCCAACAAGGCAAAAATCACACATTTTGTCAAGTCTTTGTTGACAAAATGTGTATTTTTTGCCTTATTGGCAAAATGTCGTATTGGTCAAATATGCGGCAGACGACTCCCCTTCCCGCCAAACATTCTCTCCAATTGACAGAGGCTTCTCCTTCTCCCTCCCCTCTCTCTCTATTAAAATGCCCCGCCCTTCTATTAACAACTTAACGTAAAACACTGATTTCTACGTGGTAAACAAACTAAAATTAATGTACTAAAAATTGTTGTAGAGAAGAAAAATGGGATGGAAGGGTGGGGGAAGTATTAATGAATGATATTCTGTCAAAATTTTTAATTAGAAAATTTTGTTAAATTAAAAAATTTCTAATTTAACTGTTTCAGTCGCCTACGGATTCTCCGAAATTTTTCACGGAATCTGAGGAAGCTTTTAACAAAATCTGTAGACAATTAAAAATCTGTGGACCCTTGCCAAGTTAAGAAATCGACTTTAGAGTAGGATCATGGATCTCCTTTCCCAAAGTAGGATCCAGGATGGAATCCTGGGTATCTTTAGCTATCCGATCCAGAACTAATATACTAACAAAAATTTCCGGATATCCGGAAATTTTTCGGATTTAGAACCGCCAATTCTACTCCGGATTCGGATATCCTATATGAGAGAAGTAGATGCTCTGCATCCGGGATACCGTATTTTCTCGATTAATTCCAAAAGGGAATTATTCTTCAACCCTTCCTTGGCATGGGGATCTAATCGAGGGAGGGGAATTATTCGAGTTTTGGCATTTGAACGTGCAGTAGGATATTTGGAGGTGGGGAATTATTCGAGAAAATACGGTAATAAATCCTTCCTTCATTTATACTTGACAGTTAAATTAATTCCTAAATAAAGAAAAATTTTTGAAAATCTTCCTTTTGAATTTTTATTATTTTTAAATAATGTCTTTTACAATTTAAAATATTACATAAATAATTAACACAACTATTTTCTCTCATTAATAAATCACAACTCCTATTTTTCTGTATTTAACAAACATTCATTCCTTTTTTACACAATCTACATGATTCCCACTTTTGTCTCAAATTTTTTTTATTTATTTTTAATTTTCCCGCACACATTTGACAAATATTCTCTCTCCTACATTTTTTATAGGCCAACACTTGTTTTTGTTGTAAATTGCGCAAAACTTTTACTAATAATAAAAAAACAATGATGGGAATACTCTTAATTAAATAATGATACAGGCGATGTAATTGGCGTTCTGTTTTTGTAAAATGATCGGAGGGAGTTGTTTATTTATTTTTACCCCCCCCCCCCTGTTTTTATGAGGCAAAAACAAAGAGAAAAAATTCTACAGCCTCCAAACGAATATTTTTTTCTATCTTCATATACCTAATCTGGGAAAATATTCATTTATCGTGAGCCCGCTTATTTACCTTTAAAATTGAAGAAACTCGTGGATTCTGCTTATATATGTATACCGTAAATGCTCTAATAGAACCACACTCCCTATTTGAAGCACACTCCCTAATATAAGCACACCCTAGGAGAGGATCGAAAAATAGAAGCACATGTGGTTCTATTAGAGCATTTACGGTATATTACCTTCCTTGAAGAGTTTTCGGTTACCTGAAACCGACGACAAGCTGACTCTATTTTTCGGGGTTTTCAGTTCCGGTTTTAAACTGACAACTAGAGACCGTTCTGAAAATGTCGTACGAGAATTAAAATCGACATCTCAAAGGATCTTAACCTCGCTAACAAATTTTTTGTTAATTATCTCGTCTTGATTCGTCCACTGCCGCCAACCCTGCTCCTTACAACTATTGCCGGATTTTTTTAAACTAAGAATTTATTAATTTTATTTGTTATCTTTTTTTCTAAATAAATATTAAATATAAATCTTTTCTATTTTATATCAAATTACACTTGGCAATAAAACCCCCTAATTGTTTATAATGTCATTTTTTCTTGTTTAGGGCAATCTAAACAAATTATATATTTTGTTTTGTTTATTTAAAATTTATTTTTTGTCACGTTTTTTCATTATTCGACTTTCCTGGCTTACAAACCGGATGTAATATCTCTCTCTTAGCTGTGCTTTTAGGGCTGTCCGCATCTTTGAATTTTGTTTGCGGATTATTTTAAGCAATTGCGGATTTTGTAAATCAATTGTCTACGGTTTAAAAGTTTGTTAAAGTGCTGATAGCCCTATCCCGATCGAGCGCAAGAGACAATTGCAATATAGGGTTAGCTGCCTTTTGCGGACCCGTACTTGTGGACCGACACTTGCCGTTCAGCCAAGAAAGTACCGCAGAGCCAAAATTTAACGCAAAACTCAACGTCATCGCCTTGATCCCGATCAGTGCTGGACGCGATTGTGGTTTGCGTAAAACTGCGGATTTTTTTGACTTGCGGATTGCGTTTGCGGAATATTTTTTAAATTAGCGTCCAGCCCTGATCCTGATCAGTTATACTCCTATATCTGTTGTTGTTATTCTTACTAAAGCCCTGATCCCTATCAGTTACTCCAGCCCTGCTCCCGATCAATTATACTCCCACCTATGTATTTTGTTGTTCTTCTCACTGAACTAATCTTTTAATTTCTGATTAATTTTTGCCACGCCAACAAATTTTTTTAAATTTTCTGGTCTTTAATCAGAAAACACGTTAAATTTCCCCCCTTCATTCCCCGCTCATTTATTTTTTTAAAAGACGATTAACAGACAATTTAAAAAATATTTTTAAACGTTTATTGCCTTCATGCCTACTTAATAAAAGGATTTTTTGCCCTATGCGGTGTTTGATTAACCAAAGAGAAATATTCAAATAACTTGTCGAAAATCCGCAAAAAATTGTAAAAAGGCGGAAGTGAAGATTATTTTTAATTTTATTACAACTCTGCAAAGAGGCGTGATTTTTAATGCTAGAAACGTTTTTCTTTGCAATAATGCTCTAAAAAATCTGATTTTTGTTCTTCTAATTTAAATATTAATTAGGAAAAAAGGACATTCCTCTCTTTACTGCCATTTTTCGTTTAAAATTATTTATGTTGATCATAAAAAAATTTTTTTAATTATAGGAAGTAATTTTTAGATTAGAATAGCGATAATGGATCCTATGGACTATCCGACCTCCGAATACTTGATATTCGGAGTTTGAAGCCAGACAATTTTCCGATTTTCGGAAGCCGTACAATTTTCCGAATTTTCGAAACCCGGACAATTTTCCGAATTGTTATGGAAATCCAAAATCTGATACCCGATGATGATTCAAGAAATTTTCGTAAACCCCAATCTGAAACCCCAATCCGAAATCCTACTCGACTATTTTTTCTACCCGTGGCATCCTTGGTGACTAGTCCAACTTAAAAGGCCAAATTAAATCTCAAAAAATACCGGAAAGGAAAAGGAATCCAAAAAGGACAGAAATTTATCAATTATTGGTTTTTAACTCCCGCCCCACGGAATATCCTGTTAATTATCCGGCTTCTAGCTCTTTTTGAGCTTCCGTTTTTCCAAAAAATGTTAGGCCCAAAAATTTGTAAAATTTTTAAAATTTCTTAGAAAAAGCCCCGCCCACCAATTTTATTAGTAAACATGACTACACATGTTTGTGCTTGTCTACATTTACTGTAGTTGTTTTATGTTTACATTGTCTCTCCCTCTCTCCCACTCTCCCTTCATTCTCCTCATCTCCCTTCATTCCCCTCATAGCTTATTTGCACTCTAAAAACAAAATAAAAATATTTTTTAAAATATTAGCCCCCTAAACTAGTTTACTAGCCCTCCCTCCCTCATTTCCCTCAGCGAGAAAAAAAAAAAGAAAAAAAGGACCGCCTCCCTCCGTTTTGTTTTTCTACTTGTTGCACTCTTTTTAGTACACACATAAATCTGTAAAGCTCCAATAAAGCTCCTCCTCAAATATTTTTTCAGTTAAAATATTTGTATATATTTGTAGGAGAGACATTTAATTCTTTCAGTCATTTTATATATTTATTTTCCCTCATATTACCTCCAATTCTCCTTTGATTATTCTTGATTTCTCCCTTTATTTCTCCCCTCATTTTTATTTTTTTTCTGCGTCTTTTGTACAAATTTATTAGCTTTTTACTATTTTATTATGCTAACAATAAGCAGACTATACAAATTTTGTCAACAAATAAGATATGTATTAGTATCCGCTTGCTGAAATCCGCAAAAAAATCCGTAAATAAAAATCCGCAAAAGGGCTGTCCGCAGATTAGGATACGAAAAAGCTATCCGTAATCCGCAATAGTAGTCCGCAATTAAAATCCGCAAGAGAAGGAAAATGAATTACGGACTAGTTGGGATTTAGGAAAATTTGCTTGGGTATCCTGCTTGGTATCCCTGGTATATACATTCCTACTATATCCTTGGGTCGTTGGGTGATTGGGCTTGAATTTTTTGTAATCCTTGGGTTGTTTCCTAAATCCAAGAGGCTCAATTGTCGATCCGCGAATTTCAATTTCCGGTCCACAAATCTACCGCAAAATCCGGGTCCGCAAGTTTCTGGTCCGCAAATTTGAATCCGCAAAGTTTGGCGCGCCCCTCGGGCATTTTGTATATCCTTCCCTTTTCGAGCTTGATTTACCACTATAATTTCAATCCATAACCTAATGAATTTTTACAAGAATTTTTTTAATTTTCAGAGCTTATTTTAAAAGAAATTAAATGAGTCATCCACCTCCCCCATTTTCACTTCCTCCACATCCACCACATCCTTCAGCCTTTCCCTTCCCTCTCGATCCAACAACTTTGGCCGCTTTTCAACCTTTTATGGTTCAAGTTCAGACAGAACATCGTCGAAAAAATGCGACAAGAGAAGTTACGGCACCCTTGAAGCAATGGCTGAATGCGCATAGGAAGAATCCTTATCCTACAAAGGCTGAAAAGACTTTGCTGGCAGTGGTGACACACATGACTATGACACAGGCAAGTTTAAATTTGAATGAAAAATTATTCTATCAGGTCTATAATAAAGTAGCACCCCATATCCCAAAGCCACGACCCCGACGAATTTTCAGACATAAACCCCGACCCGAACCCCGAAGAGGGTCTATCCCAGCAAAACACAAAACCCGGCACTCCCGCCCCCGAAGGCTTGGGATGCTACCCTAGTCTATAAGCTATTAGTTCTTTTTTAAAGTATTAGAAATGAGAAACATAGGGCTATTAGTTACTAGAAGTTCCTCTCCTATTAGCAGTTAGATCTCACTCCTTGAGCCTTAAAAAAATCGTACGCTGATATGAAGATGGGGGGTGACGGTATCACCTAGACAGCTCTAACCCTGTCTAGTGCCGATCCAGAATTTTAAAAAGTTATTCGGGTTCACGTAAACGATGTCCGCCTGTATATGCTTATTAAAAACAAATGTTTAGGGAGCTTGTTTTCCTTAGGAAATATTTTTTGTAACATTATTCCTGCTAAACAAAAGATTCAGATTTATTTAAAAAAATTCTTTTTAAACTTTTGCCCTCATTTTTTGTATTGTTTACGGGCTATTCTTATAGAAAAACATTTCTCCATAGAAATTCTTTTGGATGTTTTTTTATTGGAGATCATTTACTGTAGTTTGCTATAGGACAAACTAGTTCCCCTATAAATTTCCTCAATTGACCTCCTGTCAACATATAAATTTGTTTTGACTTACAAGACAATACTTGTATAACTGTAATTTTTGACCTTGATTCTAGGACGGGACAAAAAAATAAATTTAAAAAATACGAGAGGCCAAGAAAGGTCAAGGGATATGTGAAAATGTGAGAATTTACTAGGAAATAGTGATGGGGGGGGGTCTCTTCTGCCCTCCGGCTTTCGAAAATGTACTCTTTTGGCCTGTCCGCTCTTGTGTTCCATCTACCGCTTGTTACTTTGTTCCGCTTTCATCTTCCGTCTGTCTTCGGCCTTTTAAAACGCCAGTCCCTACTAGAGATCGGTCTGCATCTGGATCCAGTCTGGATTTTTCCTGGAACCAGATCAAGAATCCTGCCCAGGTTACTAACCTAAATCCAGGCGGCGGCAGAGCCAATCCGTACTAGTCCCACACTCAATGGGCAACCGAATTTCTCTAATCTCTACTAAGACCCCTTTTTTGTCTGAAAGTCACTCGTATGTTTAAAATTCGAAATTAAAAAACTCATAGGCCAACTTGTTTTTCTTTCATCTTTCCTGCTAAACATGCGCGAAGATTAAGTCTAGGCAATAAAAGAATGAACATCAAATAAAGGAATTTGCTTACTACAAATCTCCCCTTTTCAAAAAATGATTTTTTTCAATAGAAAATTTTAAAAAAGCGGTCATCCTCCAAAAGAAAAAAATTTTTAAAAAAAAGGCAAAACGTTTTCTAATTAACAGTTAATTTAATATAAACAAGTTTGGCCGGTCATTTGGCGGTTATATTAAAAAAATTTTTTTTGAAAAAAGGCAATAAAGCTAAGTGGCGTCGGTATTTTCTTTTTATGCTTTTAAAAGTGGTCAGAAACTGCGCGGCTTTTTTCTTTGCTAAAATTGCGTGTGGGCAGTTAAAAACACTAAATCACTTTTAAATTTGCTAAGAGGTATCCCTCTCAAATATTTTTTTATTTTTTTGTCTGTAAACACTTTTGCATGAACCTAGATTGGAAAAACAAGGCTTGAAACAAAAAATACAAATTAGTACAGTATACAAGAGAACATCACTATGTTACATTAAGAAACCATACCCTTATAACGAGATGTATCTTAAATAGAAGGTTTCGCTTAAGCTCCCCCCACTCTTTAGGCAAAAGTATTTTAAATTGAGGTGTATAATTCTGAGGGTATTGGAGTCGAGTCGTACTATAAAATATCCCTTTAGGCTAAGAAACCGTACCCTTATAACAAGATTATCTTAAATAGAAGGTATCGCTTAGGCAGCTCCCCCACTCTTTAGGCAACCGAATTTTAAGAGTCTTATCTTAAATTATAGATAATCTGAGAGTATTCTTGGCGTCGAGCTTCATTGAAAGATATCTCTTTAGGCTAAGAAATCGTACAATTTATTTAATGGGTTCCCTACATAGGGGGTATCGTTTGGGCTCCCCCATTCATTTGGCAACCAACTCTTAAAGAGAGTTTCTTAAATTAAGGCGTATACTTCTGGGGTCGGGCCTTCCTATAAGATGATACACTGATTGTAAAATCGTACTTATAATGAGATTATCTTAAATAGGGGGTATCGTTTAGGCAGCTCCCCAATCAATGAGCAACCGAATTTCTTAAATCCCACCAAATTTTAAAGAGCTTATCGTAAATAGAGGTTATCCAGCATTGGGTGTGAGGTTTGATTATACTTAATATTCAATTTGTCAGGTTTCCACCTGGTTTGCCAATGCCCGTCGCCGTCTTAAAAAAGAAAATAAAATGGAATGGTCACCTAGAGAACGTCCAGAGGATGATTGTGATGAGGGGGATGGTGAAGAAGTTGATGTGGATACAGAAGAGAATCACCATCAAAACCATCATCAACAACAAGGGATGTCAGATTTTTTGATGTTGATGAGTGGAAGACATCAACAACAACAAAACTTACTTGCCCAGCAACAATGGGCCATGTTTAATGACCAAAATAAGAATGGTGGAATTCCAGAAATACAACAACAACCAAGTAAAAGTACAAGTCCAACTTCCTCTTCCAACAATCCAAAGGATAAGGAAGAAGATGAAAATGAAGAGAAGAAGGTGAATGGGGGGATAAATGAAAGAAGAGAGAAGAAGATAGTTAAAAAAAGAAAATTTTGGTCTATTGCGGATACTTTGGGAAATGAAGATGATAAGAAGGAGGAAGATAAAGAGGAGGAGGAAGAGATCAACGGATGTACTAAACAACCTGAATTTAGTAGAAATGCGGTTTCTTTGTCTTCTTTTCATCATTTGAGGCCGGAAACGACCGAAAAGGTGGATATTTTTGGAAGACATATCTTAGGAACTAGGGTTGTCAGTTAATGAAAATTCTTCTCATATCCGAAACTTAAGGGGCTGGTTTAATAGGGGGACAAATGAGAGAGGAGAAAAGAAGATAGTTAGAAAAATCCTCTTCTAACAATCCTCTTCTAGCAACTGAAGAACCGAACCGAAAAATCCTCTAGAACCGACAACCATACTCAGGACAATCGAAAAATCTTTAGGAAACAGATCTCGTTCTGAATTTAAAATCCGAAGGGTAGGTGAAAGAAAAGAAATCTACAAGAGATCCAGGAACATATGATAGCGGATCTGCATATTCGGATCCGAGAAGCTAGGATACCTGAAAGGATTTCACTGGGTTCACTGGGTCTTCTAACCTTGGTCTGGGTCTTCCAACCTGGGTCTGGATTTCACTGGATCCTCCAACCCTCCCCGAGACAGGGCTGTCACGAATTAGTAGTGCTACTGTAAACCTTTAATAATCTTTCCCTAATCCAAACAATTTCTTTATTTGAAGCATTATTCTTCCCCACCACTTTCTTCTTCATCTAAAAATTCTGAAAAACAACAACAACACCCAATATATCCCCCAAATAATAATTCTATACGTACACCCATTAATGGACAACAATTTAGAAATATTGAATCTATTTTACAGCAACAACACCAACAACAACAATTGTTATTATTACATTCACAGCTAGCTTTAGGTGCTGGAATGAATCTTCCTCCCCCTCCCCAAATACATCCAGCGATTGCGGGAGGTAATATTAACAATACTGGCCTTAATATAAGATAATCTCTTGGTGTTAATTTGTATCTTATAATTAAAGTCCGAGATTTTAGGTCCGAAAAAGGGAGAATAGTTCCCTATTTTAGGGTTTAAAGTGGCAAAATAGGTAACAGAGCAGCTCTCGCAATCTAAGATTGAGTTGTCTTCTCTCCAGATGACAATCGAAATTCAAAAACGTATCTTAAATTGAAGTTACTTGGCTTGAGGTTATTACTAATAAATTGAGGTTATTTATCTTGGCGTCTGACAATTAAACTTTACATGAGTTGAATAATAGAATCCTTAAGCTTAATAAAATTCAGAAAATTTTCCTTTCTTTCTCCCAGACATAACACTTAAATTTAAGATCCAAACATCCTCGCTCTAGCATTAGCCCATCACCATAACCAACAACAACAACGTCAAAATCAATTAATAGGTCAACAACAACAACATTCCCAACCACACCCTCTTCAATTACCTTTTGTTTTTGCCCAGCATTTAGCTGCAATTGTTGGTGGACAACAACAACCCCAACAACAGCCTCAAATGCCTAGTATGTAGTAGGGTAAATAACGGAGAGGAAAAAAGGGAGAGGAAGGAAAGTCTACTGTAGAATCAAAAAGGAATCTCTCTTTTTATCAAAATCGGAAGATGAAAATTTTATTTTAAAAAAATAGCGAAAGACGGCAAATATTCCTTTGATCAAGCTTAATTAATTTAGGCAACAGAAAAAAGTTTATTAATAAATTATTAAAATGCGCGACCACACCAAAGAAGATCAAAATATTTAAAAGATTTAAACTGTCGTCATTTTTCAAAGAGAATTTTTAAATGACAAGGATATCTTGTCTTGTCTTGATTTACCTTATCTTGAGGTCTGACTCAACCCCCACCAGACCTGGGCGAAACTCAAAATTTTTTTCTGACGAAACGAAACGAAACAAATTAAAAAGTGTTTCGTGACGAAACGAAACGATACTCAAAAAAACCCACGAAACATACGAAACAACGAAACGAAACGAAACGTTTCGCCCACGTCTGACCCCCACTATAAATGTGCCTTATAATGAGGCACATTTAATTTCGGATTGAAAAGTGATTGAAAAAAGTCTAGGTGTTGGGTAATCCGTCCTACATATCTCTGGCAAGGTCACTGTCTCTTGTGAGATGTGATGTGTCATGTCTCTGTGTGTCTCTCTCACGTGTCTCTCCCATCACTGTCTCTGTGTGTGTCTCTCATCACTCTCTCACCGTCTCTCTCATGTTTCTGTATGTCTCTCTCATCACTCTCTCTCATCACTGTCTCTCTCATGTCTCTGTGTGTCTCTCACGTGTCTCTCTCATCACTGTCTCTCTCATGTCTCTGTGTGTCTCTCACGTGTCTCTCTCATCACTCTCTCACTCTCATCTCTCTCTCTCACTGTCCCTTATTTTAATTATTAATTATCTCTTAATTATTAATTTTAAAGCTTGTTTAATTAATTTATATCCTAGTCATTTAAAAATTCTCTTTGAAAATGCCTACGTTTAAATCTTTTAGATATTTTGATGATTCTTCTTTGGTGTGGTCGCGCATTTTAATAATTTATTAATAAACTTTTTTTCTGTTGACTAAATTAAGCTTGATCAAAGGCATATTTGCCGCCTTCCGCTATTTCTTAATAAAATTTTTATCTTCTAATTTTGATGGAAAGAGAGATTTCTTTATGATTTTACAGTAAAGACCTCTTCCTCTCTCTTCTTTCCCCCTTCTTCTCCTTTTCCTTATCCTAGCTAATCTATTGCGCGAGAAGAGGAGAATTAAATTATTACGGGGCGATATCAGTTCTTGATCTTCTCTCATTAATTTAATTATTTTAATTAGAGGAAATAAAAAATAAAAAAATGGGGGGAAAATTCTTTACAATGATTGAGTGAAAAAGAATTTTTTGTTGAAAATTATCGAAAAAAAGGTTAAAATCAGGGCTAAGTTGAGATTAGTCTTAAAAGAATCTAAAATTGAAAACTTGAGAAAGCAAATGCCAAAAATCGAAAGATTTAAGGAGAAGCAAGGCACTCTTGTGCTTACTCAAGGCACTCTCACTCTTCACTCATGTTCAGCGGTATCGGGATTTTGACAAGAAATCGGGATCCCCTTTTCTGCTAATTTTATTTCACAGTCATTACCAATCTTTTAGTCAATTTTTATAAAATATGGATTTGCTTTGGAATCTGATACAAATCCCGATCCCGGATCCTGATTAGAGATCGGGGTTAACTGAAATCGAGATTGAAACCCCGGGATAATCCCGCCCAATCGGGATCCCGATACCGCTGAACTCTTGTGATTACTCATAATATATTAGAAGCAAGTCAGGTCCACTTGGATTTTACTTAAAATTGCTTGGGGTTTTTCAATTTGCACTTGCGGATTTCAAAATTATATTGCGAATTTTTTTAAATTGAATTTTGCGCAAAAATTTTCCTTTGCGTTAGCTCTGATCAGCAGTTTTCTTTCTTATTCTCATCCCTATGGGTATCATGAGGAATTTTTCCTTTAATTAAAATTTAAAATTTTAGGTGTAGCACCTTCTCACCCAGAAAAATTAAATCAAAGTAAAAGCGACAATTCATCACCAGTCCATCAAAATAATGAAAATATTAGAAAGAGAACATCTTCTTTTATTTCCTCATCATCTTCACAGCCTTCACTAGCTAAAAAGCAATGTTCTCAGAGATTGACTGAGACGCCTATGATACAAAATGGAACAAAAAACGAAAATAATGAATGTTGTGATCAATTAGAAAAATCTAAAGAAAATTAAAAAATGACTAAAAAAATTCTAAGTTGAGTTTAAGTAGGCTAGCAATACAGCTACTGAAACCCCAAAGAAGAAGCCCCTATTAAGGAAGAAGAAGCCCCTATAAGAAGAAGCCCCCTATATAAACCCACTATCTTTTTGAAGAAGCCCCTATACTGAAGCCCCCCTCTATACTGAAGCCCCCCCTCTATCTGAAGCCCCTCTCTATACTGAAGCCCCTATCCCCTATTTTTATATCTACCCCCTACCCCTTAGCTTCATAAACCCCCCTATCCCCTATATTTTATAAACCCTTATCCCCTAAAATTCCAAAATCCATTCCATGAATTGGAACCAGAAAGCACAGAATATAGGCATCAACAAGTCCCCCTCCCCCCCCCCCCTCCAATAATAAAAGTTTGGATGGAATTTGATTCTCTTCAAAGTAAGCTTTTTGGTTATCCTCTTAACCATCTCCTCCCGTTCTGTTGTTTTTCGTTTTTATTTTATCCGCAAGTCAAACATCATTTTGTAGGAATGTTGAACAGATAAAAACACGGCTTAGAGAGACGATCCCTCTCTTTCCAATCTTATCCTACCTTTCTTAGAACGTGTCGAAATATTCCATTCTAGAGTGATTTAACTTAAACTCAACCTAGGTGTATTTTTTACCTAAAATCAAGACAGGGAAATTCATAAAAAATATAAATAATGAAAAGATTTTTTGTGTTTACTTGACAAATGTTATTTATTGAGAAAAAATGTATTTTTATTTTATATGGGGCATGCACATGGGCATGGATTTTAGCATTGTAAAGCATATAGCTATTTAATTCCTAAGGCTGACAGTAGGCGGCGACTTTGTTCTCCACTCGAGACATCTCCAATCCATATCGGACCATTTTGGAAAACATTTTCATTCGAATATCCGCCGGTATACGGATATTATCCGTATCCATATGCAAGTCTCTTTTATATATTTAAAATTTTTGTAGCCCGATTCCAATTATTTCAATAAATTGTTTGTTTAAATTGTAAAAAATAAACTAATTAAAAAAATTTTGTGAGTAGGGTTGAAGTGATTCTGGAGAGTTTTTTGAAGTTTGTTTGAAGAAAAAATCCCGGAATTTTTAAATGTTGCGTTTTTAATTCCCAATATAATTCCCTCAACCACACCTAAAAATTTGTCCTTACCCAAAACACATTTTAGTAGCTAATTTAAAAGTAGAGATAACGATAGAGATAACGGCCATTTTTAAAATAAAATGATAATATTTTCTTTCCAAGTCCGGTCTAAAATTTACTTATATGTATTTAACAAATTACTTGAACATAAAAAATCAAAAATTATTTTAAAACACCCAAGAATGTTGTTTAAAAATAAATTTTGCTTCCCTCTAATTTTATTTTTTTCCATTTATTTATTTTCTTGTTTAAATTGGAATTTTGTTGAATCAAAAAATTTGGAAAGCCGAAAACTTGAAATTTTAAAATTTAAAGAAATTTTAAACAAAGGAGGAAGCAAATTTAATTTTAATAAAACTGAGAAGCTAAATTCGAGAAAATTAAATGGGGAAGACGAATTTTTTGTTGATTTTGCTTTGATTGATTATAACTATGTTTTTAAATATGTCGAAGACTACGAAATATTTAATTCAGAATATTTATGTTATGAAGAAGAAAAATATTTTAAAAAATATTGCGATTTGGATAAGATGAGCAAACCGATTAATGCCACATTTGATGTAAGTTAACCTTTGAATCTCGCTCTATAAGATCCATTTAGTACTAGACACACCTCGGTTTATGATACCTTCTCTAGCCTTCGGTTAGTTGGGTATGGGAAGCTGATTAACCTCTATATAATAGACACCTCATTGGGTATCCTTTATTTAATAGACACCTCGTTATAGGGTATCTTCTATTTAGTAGACACCTCGTTATGAGGTATCCTTTATATAATAGACACCTCATTATAGGGTACCCTCTATTTATAGACACCTCATTATAGGGTACCCTCTACACCTCATTATAGGGTACCCTCTATTTAGGTATTTAGGAGCACCCTCGTTATAAGATACAATTCTTAAGGAATACGACTTGTTTAAAATTGTTATTTTTGTTGATGAAATCGTCGACAATAACGGAGCAACAATTATAAATATTGGAAAGAACACTGAGTTTTTACTTCTTAATGGAGGCGAGGCCATGAGTGGAAGTTCTAAAAATGTTGAAAAAATTGCAAAAGTTTTAAATGCTCAAATTGACGAAGAGACCAATAAGTATTATTTAAATGGAAATTGTAAAGATATTAGATCAGAAGGAACACCAACAATTGGTGTAAAATTTAAAGATTCCAATACAACGATTAATGTTTCTGGAAGAGATATGGCAGACTTTAGTGTAAGCATTTGTAGTAATGGGTTGTAGTAATGGGGGTGTAGTAATGGGGGTGAACAAACCCAATTACCTATATTTGTAGTAATGGGGGTGAACGAGATGAGAAGAATCAGATCGGGTTTCGGATTAAAGAAAAGTCAGGGTTTCGAATATCGGGTGGCGGGTCTCCCATCCCTAGTCAGTACAGAGTCAGTACAAGAAGTGCTGTCTAGTAAAAATGGTAGACAAACCCAATTACTGACCGATGTTAGATTTTTAGCAAATTAATTTGGCCGTTTTGATAATAGTCTGGACCAAGGCCTGGGTTTTTCCTGAACCCAGAGTCCAGGCTCGGGCATTTTTTGACCTTCCTAGGTTTTTCCTGGGTCTGGATTTTTCCCTGGACTACAGGCCCAGCATCCGATCCAGGTCAATAAATTAAACCCTAGAGTCCAGGAACAGGTCCAGGCTTTAATTAAAACACTTGGATAAGCTGAAGATGACAAGTATTGGGACGCCAAGAAGTCACAGTTTCGATTCTTTCCAGTGGACAAACTTTTATTTTCGTTTTATGTACTCATCCTTTAATTAACCAAAAATTTTTTAAAATTTTTTTGGATTTTTAAGCATGAAAATAAATGTATGCTTGGACTGGATATTGATGAAGAAATGCTGTTAGAATTTTCATTAAAAAGTTTTAATAATTATTGTATTTTATTTGACACTTTTATGAATCAAATAGCTTTTGCACCAAAGGTGGTAAAGTCAGAAGATATGGAATTTATTTATTGTTAAGAAAAAAAGAATTTAACAGATAAAAATTTTTTTTGAAATTTAAATATTAAATATTATAGTTTCTCAATTTATTTTCAAAAAGTATAAGGAATCGTAGCAGTTCAACTGAGTCCCGGCCCTATAACTCAAGTAAGGGTTGATAATTTTTAATGTTCTTGGTATCATTGGATAGAGAATCAAAAGCTCTACAACATATCAAAAAATCAGAATTTTTGACCGATTGATAAAAAAGTTATGATATAAAAACTAACTTTTTCAAAAAAATCGGATTTTTCGGCACTTTATCGATCATAACTTTTTTACCAGTCTGTCAGGAATTTTGATTTTTTGGTATATTGTAGCCTATTTAATGCCCTATCCAATGGTACCAAGAGCAAAAAAAGTGACCATCCACTCATAAGTTATAGGGTCCGGGACTCAGTTGAGTCGGGACTCAATTGAGGTGTACCGATAAAGAATGTCAGCGTCAAATCTCAATTTTAGTCAAATCTTTGTTCAAGATTAATGAATTAAGGTGATTTTAGTGTCATTCGACTCTGTTGAACGAGCTCTTTCGAAAGAGATTACCTTCGCTAGAAAGACTGTTTTTGTGATGCTGCGGAGGAAGGCGGGCATGTCGAGCGAAACGACGGCCGTCGCTTCTCTACGGTCGCCGCGAGTGAAGTATTCGTAGCTTCACTGTGTTCCAGGGAACGAGCCGTCTCGATTCCCTAAATCGTGAATTTTGTTTTCGTATCCTCTCGTTCCCTGATGTGTTCGCGTAACAGAAAATAGAAATAGGGCACTTTATCTATGACGTTAATTATGTGGTGTTTTTGAACAGGTAGAGGAATTTAGGGAAAATAATCAAGAAAGGTAATTAATCAAGAAAATGTCTATATTTACTTCCACAGTACGAGAAAATTTTCATTTACTTTCTAGTGATCAAATGACACTATAAATTTAAAATGACGAATCCCCTCAAATTATTCTACTCAAATTACTAGAGTTTCACCAGGAGTTCCGGCGTTTTTGGTTCCGGTTCCGGATCCGGAACTCAAATTGGATCCGGTTCCGGTCAAAATATCGGTTCCGGTGACACACTACAAATTACCCTAATCAAATTACCTCAAATCAAATTACCTTAGAGGTCAACTTCAACATTCTTGCAAAACGCATTTTATATAAGCAGTAAAACATACATAAATATTCTAGGAATTTTTTAAATTATTTAAAAGGGAGAGAAACTAATAATTTTTAAAAGATAACGACCATTTTTAAAACAAAAATGATATCATTTGCTTTCCAATTCCGGTCTAAAATTTAATATTTAAAGGGGCTACTCAGGCCAAAAATTAAATTAAAAATTAAACACCCCCCAAAAATGTTGATTAAAAACAAATTTTCCCTCCCTCTAATTTTATTTTTTTCCATTTATTTATTTTTCTGTTTAAATTGGAATTTTGTTGAATCGCAAAATTTGGAAAGCCGAAAACTTGAAATTTTAAAAATTAAAGAAAGTAGTTAGTCATACCACTTTGTTCCATTTTCTACCGCACTTTCCTAAAGGATGAGGAGGGGTCCGCAAAATTTCCTAAAGGATTTGAAGGGGTTGGGGGGCGGAGTCAGTGGATTTTAGGGGACATTCCAAAAGGATTTGAAGGGATCCCTTTGATCTTGCCGCTTTCCCGCAATCCCAAATTGTTTCCCCTTTGATCTTGCCGACAATCCTCAAGGTGTGAAAATTCACACCTTTTTGTTTCTTTGATCTTGCCGACAAAACCAATTTGTTCCAAGGTGTTGGGAAAGGGGTCCGACTAAAGCAAATTACCGCACTAGGATTTACCGCACTAGGAGTGCGGTTTGTTCCGCACTAGGAGTGCGGTAAATCGTCAAGGTGTGAAATTTCACACTTCTTTTCCTTTGATCTTGCCGACAAAACCAGTTTGTTCCAAGGTGACCGGGGAAGGGTCCGACAAAACCAACTTGTTCCAAGGTGTCGAGGGAGGGGTCCGACGAATCCAAATTTGACAATTTTAAGGCGTTAATTTTCACACCTTTTTCTTCCTTTGATCTTGCCGACAAAACCAGTTTGTTCCAAGGTGACCGGGGAAGGGTCCGACAAAACCAACTTGTTCCAAGGTGTCGAGGGAGGGGTCCGACGAATCCAAATTTGACAATTTTAAGGCGTTAATTTTCACATCTTTTTCTTCCTTGATCTTGCCGACAAAACCAGTTTGTTCCAAGGTGACGGGGGGAAGGGTCCGACAAAACCAACTTGTTCCAAGGTGTCGAGGGAGGGGTCCGACTAAAGCAAATTACCGCACTAGGATTTACCGCACTAGGAGTGCGGTTTGTTCCGCACTAGGAGTGCGGTAAATCGTCAAGGTGTGAAATTTCACACTTCTTTTCCTTTGATCTTGCCGACAAAACCAGTTTGTTCCAAGGTGACCGGGGAAGGGTCCGACAAAACCAACTTGTTCCAAGGTGTCGAGGGAGGGGTCCGACGAATCCAAATTTGACAATTTTAAGGCGTTAATTTTCACACCTTTTTCTTCCTTTGATCTTGCCGACAAAACCAGTTTGTTCCAAGGTGACCGGGGAAGGGTCCGACAAAACCAACTTGTTCCAAGGTGTCGAGGGAGGGGTCCGACGAATCCAAATTTGACAATTTTAAGGCGTTAATTTTCACACCTTTTTCTTCCTTGATCTTGCCGACAAAACCAGTTTGTTCCAAGGTGACGGGGGGAAGGGTCCGACAAAACCAACTTGTTCCAAGGTGTCGAGGGAGGGGTCCGACTAAAGCAAATTACCGCACTAGGATTTACCGCACTAGGAGTGCGGTTTGTTCCGCACTAGGAGTGCGGTAAATCGTCAAGGTGTGAAATTTCACACTTCTTTTCCTTTGATCTTGCCGACAAAACCAGTTTGTTCCAAGGTGACCGGGGAAGGGTCCGACAAAACCAACTTGTTCCAAGGTGTCGAGGGAGGGGTCCGACGAATCCAAATTTGACAATTTTAAGGCGTTAATTTTCACACCTTTTTCTTCCTTGATCTTGCCGACAAAACCAGTTTGTTCCAAGGTGACGGGGGGAAGGGTCCGACAAAACCAACTTGTTCCAAGGTGTCGAGGGAGGGGTCCGACGAATCCAAATTTGACAATTTTAAGGTGTTAATTTTCACACCTTTTTTTCTTTAATCTTGCCGACAAAGCCAACTTGTTCCAAGGTGTCGGGGGAAGGGTCCGACGAAATCAAAATTGACAAACTTAAGGTGTAAAATTCACACCTTTTTTCCTCTTTGATCTTGCCGACAAAGCCAATTTATCCAAATTATTGGGGGAGGGGTCTGATAAAACCAAATTTGACAATTTTAAGGCGTTAATTTTCACATCTTTTTCTTCTTTGATCTTGCCGAAAAAAATAGTTTGTTCCAAGGTGTCGGGGGAAGGGTCCGAAGAATATTTTTTTGAATATTTTAAACTAAAACTTTAAAAATTATCCCTGAACATGATCGAACCCGTGACAACTAATGAATATTCCGAATCAAAACCACTAGCTACTAAACTACAGAGGAACATTTTTTATTGCAATTTTTGCTTTTAAAGCTTTTAAACTATTTTAACATGCATGCATATTAAATTAGTCAAATTTAAAATGGCGTCGCTTCTCTTTTTTAAACAAGCGTCGCTTCTTTTTTAAAAGAGCGTCGCTTCACTTTTAATTGATTGAGTATAAATACCCGAATAAAACTTAAATCTTAAACTGAAAAAATGATTTTCAAAATAATTTTAATACTATATATGATTTATAATGTTACTAGCGAAAATAAAAGTTTATCTGATTTTAAAAGATGGCAGTGTGAGAGAGCTATAACTGTATTTCGAAAAATATCCCCATCTGTATATTTCACGGATATTTTAAATGTGAGTGTACCTGAAGACATGGATTATAAAATAACTTGGACCCCTTACGGTCATGCTTGGTACGTTTGGGATGAGAAAGCAAAATCTATTATGCCAATGTATATGGGATTTCCCATAAGACCTAAGCCAGAAAAAGATGGTATATTATATTCTGGATTGGTATTCATAAAAGAAACTAGCTCATCAGTTATTGAATTTTTCAAAACGATATTCAGTCCATTAGCAGAACTAAAATTCCAAAGAGGGGTGTTTAGAAGGTAGACTTCAAATCAGTTTATTATTACCTTATCTAATCAGAAGGGGCGTGGTCTAATTATGGAGTATAAAAACAGAGCTGATGTATGAATTTTAT